AATCTACGTGAGACAATTTTTATTTTTAAATTTTTAGTTGCTTAATATGAAAAAATATATCATCTTAATTGATTAAGCTTTAAGCGAAGTGTTAATAAATTGTAAACAAATTTTTAGCTCATACTTTGAGACTTATTCTTAGATTTGTATTTATTGATTATAATATTTGTTGCAACTGGATTTAAAAATTGAATAATTATTAAGTATAGTATATTTACTTTAATGTCTTCCTTTATTTCGCGACTTCATAAATACGGAAAGAATATTCACAAAGAGAATGAATTACATACTAACGTCCATCTTCTTTTTACTTAATTTTCTTTTTATTTTCAGTAATTAAAAAACTTTTAAATTTGTTCACTCCGTTTCTATTAGATTCACTTTTAGCTCATAGAACATAATGCTCAACTAATTTAACGAGTGTAGAAAAAAAAAAACAAAAAAAAAAACAAAAAAAAAACAAAAATGAGCAACCGCTTAAAGATATCTCCACAGACTCTCAACAGAGACAGTACAAATATTAATGATAACAATGTGTTGATTTAACAAGTATGTTTATAGCCTTTTGAATGAAATGAATGATAATAGAACGATGAAATAATTAAGCTACGAAACCGTATTGATGATAGACACAAATGGAAATTTGAAAAATAAGTTTATGATATCCTGAAACAATTCTTATATGGCTGAGGAGAGCATTACTTTTTCAAATCTCGCTTATGTCAATTTATGATTCATGGCATTATCGCTTAATCACAAAAACCAATATATTTGCAAACTTCGAAGAATACTCTGTCTACGAATCGTCGAATTTAACATTAATAACTACTGCACATTTGCACTTAAATTACTCAAGATTACGAAAAAATGAAATTTAGCGTTAAATCAGCTATTAGAACAACCATAATTGAACATAATAATTTAGTATATTAATTAGGCAAACGTCGGCTGTATATTTTCGAAGACTTAACGATCAATCGACAACATTAATTATAACTAAGAGATCTTTAACTTGAATTTCTCTTGATAAATGATTTAAATGTAATACAAATAGCTGCATTTGTATTTGGAAATAATTTTTATTTATTCATTTATTTATTTATTTTATTTACTTTTTTTGTTACTTGTATCGTAGAGCGGTGGCCATAGCCATAGCGTTAGCTATTAAATATATTTATATCTCATTAAAAGTAGAACAATACGAAAGGCGAAAACTATTTGATATAAGTTGCCGATTTTTTGTAAATTCACACGCGCACACGAGGACGGCTGCTGCTTTACTTGCTCCTGTGACAGTAATCCGCACATTAAATAATAATCTCAATGCGTTCACGTTACGGATAACTATCGGTTTGAATAATTCACAAGGTGGTGCTCCGGTGGCGTTTTGCGAAAAGGTAAATAAAATCAGAGGACATTTATCTACCAATTTGCATACCAGTAAAGCGGCTCGACGAGAATAAAAGCGCCTGAATATTTTGTTTGTATATGACGAAGATTATTTTCACTTATGCATGCAATATTCAAGACAAGACGCTCCTCGCGGAACTCTCGAGCACAATCATAAAAAAAAAAAAAAAAAAAAAAAAAAAAAAAAAAAAAAGAGCAGCTCCTCTCGGATCAATGTGCCTCGCGAACAATCGGCTATTAATAGACATAGAGATGCAGAATATGGGAGGGAAAAGGCATGATTTCCTGGATTCGCAAGCTCGCCACATAATAAATCAATGGGAGGTAAAGCCAAAGATGTGGACGGGGTGGGGGATCGGTAGGCGAGGGAAACCCAAGGGTATCCAGACCGATTGCGTCACGATGGATCGCAGGAGCGATGTACGCGGCTATAAAGGAGTCCATCGGTCCTTTCCCATGATCCGCGACTAACGAGAAACACTCCCCGGGATTGCACTAGTTTTTTGCTCTTTCTTAGGCCGATAAGGCCGAGCCGGAGATGATTAGAGCTGCCAACTCGCTAAGGCAAGACGCTAGACATGATTCATCGCGCAGCTGCAGTTGCACGCGCGCGCGCGCGCGCGCTCGAGAGAGAGAGAGAGAGACTTGAGTTGCGTTTCTCAGCGTCGCTATCCCGCTAAGAAATGAGAAAGCCACTCTAATAATAATAAGAAATGCACTTTAGGCAAAGTTATCGATGCTTGTTAACGGGGCTCCGGTCGAGCATCGCTTTCTCGCCTCCCTCCCTCTCTCCCTCCTCATAATTGTGCAAAAGAGCATGGCATTTATCGTGTCTCATCCGCGATTTTATCGAACGATGCGAAGAGTGTGGCCATAAAGAATTGAAGCGTACGGCGAGATGTACTCGCTCCAGGATCGGATAGTCCCTGATAAATTCGGACATTTAGCAAGGAAGAGGACAGATAACGTAGGCGGGTCGTAGGTTGCGCTCTGAAAAGCAAAAATTATGCAGTGCAGCGATGAAAAGGAAGCTCAACTTTGTCCGCATCGCAAGTGCAATTGCAATTCGCTTCATTAAGCATCGTTTTCTCGGTCGCTCTCCTTCCTCCCCGTGTCGCGATAAGGTCGAGAGACCTCGCAGCCGTCGACCTATCTTCATCCCCATTCCGTGTCCGAGAACTTTTTGTGAGAGAACGCGCGTATTATATTATCGTTTGTTTTACAATTTCTATGCGTATTTCATTGTGCAGAGCATTCTGAAATGTCGATCGCCATAATAAATCTATCGTTGCGTTTTATGAGGCTCTTAATTGGGAGATGATTGCACCCGAGTTTTGTCAAACTGGAAAGCATAATTTTTAATGGAGAATCTATAGTCACTAGAGCTTGATATTTCTTAATTAATAAATGCCATTCTGTTATTATTCTGTTTCTACACAGCCTTTAAGTTGGCTATTTAGTAGATCTTTCAATGGATGTCCTCAATGTTGTACGGGTAATCTTCAATAGAGTTATGTGCACTTGGACTATATGATACAATTGTTATTAAAAAAAAAAAAAAAAAAAAAAAAAAAAAAAAAAAAAAAACAGTTTGATTCGCGATTCTTACTGTAACCTAAAGCTTATATATATAACAGATTACTCATATCTTGTGAATAAATGCAAGACATTAAGTAACAGCAGTCGAGAACGATATTTTTTACTACATTTACGACTTGTATATTTTTATTTTGTATATTTTTTATAATATTACAAGTGCCACGCTACTTGTTGCAATTTACGAATATTCACATATATAATCGTAGGTGTGGATCGAAGTTATGCTATGCCCTACTAGAATTATCAGTTTATTATCAAAATTCATAATATCACTAAGGTATCGAGTATGTCTTATAAACGATCGTACCTGATTATTTATCGCTATTAACTGTTATTCTGGAACTTCTCATAATACTAGGAAAGAAGTGAGGAAGCCAGTGAATATAAAATTTCACAAGTTCATAAGCAATGCTGTGGTGGTCTCGAAATACCTGTAAAATCACGATGATTTCTTTGTATTTCGATGAAATTCGTAAGAAACGAGGATGATGATTATCCAAATGATTATCCATATATGCGTCCTTTACATATGTTTAGTAAATTTTCGAATGCTAACGGTAATGGAGACGATGCATGCGCGAGATACCTTATAAATTATGTAAGCCGCGCTTCTTTGCCAAGTCATTTATTTAATATTTCAAACTATTAGTTGGCATTGACTAGCCATCTTTTTGTCCTTAATGCCACGACTTAATATTGCCCAGAACAACGAATACTTGAACACTATTTTCTATTGCAACCAAGAAGCATTATCGCTAAATAAGACATTACCCCTCCACTTCATTTTGCTACGTTCGCGGTGGGATGTGGAATGTAAACTTGAATGTCAGGCCGATCACTTCGATGTCCCTTGCGAATTAAAATCTTACGCCATTTCTACGCGGCCTGATTAACTATAAAGTCACAATTTTTCAGCTCAATGTGTCGCGTTGCGCACGCAAGTCCATTAAAATTTAGCGCAAAGTTTAGACTTTCTATCGGACACTCGGTGGCTAGTGAGTTTAATAGTGTGGGTGGTGACTAGTATGAGTGAAGCGGTGCGCTCACTGAGCCTTAACTGCGTTTTATCGATATTTAATTTGAGAGAATCGAGGATGTCATGTCGGCTGCTGCGCATTGTACGAGAATATTCGATGTTGGAACAAGTGGCATTGCGCTGTTGGTTGACGGTTGAACGAATAACGAAAGACGCGACGGAAATTCGTTGAACGGTACTTGTCCTTGAACAATAAAAAGTACTGCAGGTACTCGAGTTGGCATCTACTCTAATTCAACACTTCGTGTGAGCTTGGTGTGCCGTTGATAAAAACAAAAAATAACGATGAGGATAAATTAGTATTGTTAACGATCTTGATGTCGATGAGCGATGTATCTTATTCACCTTTCTATAAATATTTTCGCGCAAATCGGCACGAACAATTATTTCGGCAAGACATTGCCCCCGACGTTACGAATGGTATTATGAAACGACATTTTTATTACATTACCGACACCCATAGTAAGCGTACGCGAGCTCATAACCGCCAAGTGTTGTATTGGCAACGGCAAACAAAGTTATTATGATAATTATCGGAAAATGTTTAAAGATTGACAATGGGAAGCAACTGGGTCATCTCGTCAATTTGTTTACAACAGCACAAGCATGAATAATTTTACAACTATGAGCCTTAAAAGTACGTAAATGCTCACATTTATATGCATACATACATATACATACATACACGTACATATATACGTACATACACGTACATATGCATACATATACTGATATATATATATATATATATATAAAAGTCCTTGGGCGAGGATCGGATATCGTTACGGGAGTATGTAAGGCGTCGCGGCAAAAGGTCCTCTAGACTTAGCAACGGGTAACAATCTCATAAGCGATAGCGTAAATGTAAAACGGTGGCGCCGAGCGAGACGCGTTCGCTCCGCGAAAGCACAAAACCAAGCGACGATGACTCATATCTGATTTTTGCGCGTTTCAGGCTCCGCATCGATCGAGCAGAAAAACGAAAATGGCGGCGGCAAGGGCAACAAGACAAACAATAACGGGGCCGAGGTCAATCGGAACGAGGAGCAGAATGGATCGCTCGACAAGTCGCAGGCTAAGAAGAAGCCAACCGCACCTGGTGGAGGGCCTCTCTTGCAACAGACGTGAGTACCGCCCGACGCCCGATTATCCCGCCCACTCCTCTTACGACTCGCACAAAAACAAAAAACATAAAAATATACGAGGAATTAAATATCGCTATTTACTATAAGAATTACACGTACGCCGTTACATTAAATTGCATACGGAAATTTTTTCGACTTTCAGCCAAGTGCGGCTCTCGCTCAAGACGCTAATGCGCTGACGCCATCTCCCATCTAATGAAAAGAAAATCTGCTTTTCGTGATAATGTGTAAGCGATAGTCGATATTCTCGAGCTCTACCAATAAAGGAGAGAAAGAGATTTAAAAACGCTATGGCTTTTTCCACTATGGGCTTTGTAATCCGTCCAGCTGTTTCACTCCTTGACAATCGATTATGATAGAAGCCATCGGTGTCCCATTGCTTCTGCTTAGCAAGCTCAGTTGCTCCATCCTTTTCTCAAGTTGGTGAGGTCGCCGCGCACCTCGCCGACCGTTTGCAAACGCTTTCTCGGATCTTATCATGGGGGCAGATGTCAGCCGGATTATGGCATCTCGCGCCAGGACGAGCGAACCTCGTCGAAGGAATAGCGCCTCGGTTGGAAAAACGATAAATTGACTAAGGAAAAAGGGTGGACGGTTAAGGAAGGGAAGGGAAGGGAAGGGAAGGGATGGGAAGGGAAGGGAAGGGGGTGAATTCGATTTTAGCGCGGTCGTGAACCGATCGTCGTTCGTGGTGGAAGGAGAAAAATCGACGGCGACACTTTTACATTTCCAAGCTTCGTCGGCAGTTTCGTAAGGGGGACACAATGGCTCCCGAACTCGTCACCCTCGTCACCCTCGTCACCCTTGTCACCCTCGGTACCCGGGCGGCTATCGATTCTCCCATCACGTTCGACGGGAGCTGCCAATCTCTCGCGCCACTCGCCTTCCTTCTTACTTTCATCGGCACGCCAACGCGAGCGACTCTCCCCACATCGGCAACTGCCTCTACTTCCTCACGAGGGTCACGGGGGTTTCGCTTACCCTTGGCCGTGGTTCTCCACCCTCGTTTATTCCTGACGAATGTAAATTACGGGCTTTTTTATCCACTTTTTTTCTTGTTCTTTTTTTGTTTTTGCTTTTATTTTTGTTGTTTTTTCTTTGTTTTTTGTTTTTTGTTTTTACGAAGCACGCGGCTAGTTTCGCCGGCAAGGCTCCTCGTTATCTCTCGCCGTAGGAAATGCCAATGCAAGCGACAAGCGAGTTTAATTAACTTCGAGCTGCTTCGTCAGTTACGAGAGTACCGAACGTTACGGGGCTAAAATTGACGACAAAGAAAAAAAAAAAAACGATCGGAATGCCGTCGGAATGCGGTTAACGTTACGCTCGAGCGCCCTCTCAAAAAGACTTTGAGTGAGCCCTTTATACATATAGATTGGCCGATAAGAGACCGACGACGAAGACGACGACGACGACGAAGACGAAGACGACGACGAAGACGACGACGACGAAGACGCTCTAGCGTAATTGATTCCACGGGTTGATGGTGGAAGGTACGCGAGGCACGGCTGGAGACCATGCCACTCGACAAATGTATGTCGCGTTCGTTATCTCTCGTGCCATCCCGTCACCCTCCCATCCCCCCATTCCCCTCCGCCAACTGCAGCCCTTTGCCAAACTTTGTACGCTCCCTTAAGCTCAAGATATGAAAGACCGAGCTTGGGGATTCGTTAGGCAAAGCCATAGAGGCATAACGGGAGGGCTTTATGAATCTCTCTCTCTCTCACTCTCTCTCTCTCTCTCTCTCTCTCACTTTCTCTCTCAATCTCAAGCACGCTATTTGGGATATTGCTTTCCACTTAACGTCATCGACATTTCGACTAAGTTTTTCGGTGCGCCGCGAAACTTTGAACAGCGACGCTCGTATCGGCCGGAAAAAAAGCATCGCAAGCAAGCTTTTGTCTCGCTTTTAAAATGCCCAGGAGAGGAGAGTCAGGAGTCTCCCCCCTACGCCTGTAACGACGCTTTCACGAAATTATAAAAGCAGCCTCGGCAGTGACGATGGCTAGTCACGTTTCCCAAGCGCGTAAAATTGATCGCGAATGAAGCGCGAATGAGAAAAACTTGCAACATGTGTGATAATATTAACGATGGCTCTTTTCCCATTACTTTCAGAGAGATATCAACCAGTCAATTGGACTTCTTCAGAATGCTCGACGAGAAAATCGAAAACGTAAGTTGACTTTTGAAATTAAAGCACAGGTAGACGCTCAAGGTGACGCACGCACACGGATACGCGTGTGGTCGTCGGTGGCTTATTTATTGTCGGGGAGGAGCGACTAATGACGATTAATGTGCCGCGTTAAACCGCGAATCGTTCGGCAGTCCCGGGGAATGATTTTTAATGATGTCATGATCAACGTAGCACTAAATTAGACGACACGAGGATTCATTCGCTTATTATTAAATAACAAAAATTACAACTATGACTATTTTATTGGTATGAGCTAAGAATTATTAATGCGCGGTCAGCGGGCATTCGCCGAGCTATTGTACGTACGTTCGGGCTAATTATTTGAGAGTTTCGTTACCATTTTGCTGCAGCGAATATAAGTTATGAAGTTATGAAGTTATGTGACGTCGTCGGTTGGTGACAGACGATGCGCATTGCTTTTGCCATCTCGTGCGTGTGTTATGTACGTCGGCCTGTTAATCGAACGTATAGATAAGCCGACAGTCGAGTCGTCGTTCGACATTTGAATTTTTTAATAAATATTGCCTCCTCCGTATTGTCGATATGGCGACAATAATAAGAGACTCGATCGAGTCTTACCGGGGCTGTAATAAATTTTATGCTACATTGATGCGTGTATGAAACGTGAAGGATAATGAAATTTATA